TGACAATATTTTTCTTTCTGATTTTCAGTGTACAACATACTAACTACGGGTAGTGTAACGGATATCAGCGTCGAACGTAGAGTGGGTGAGACGGGTTCAAATTCCTGGCTAGTCCGTGTCGTTCGCAAATACACTTGGGTGAGGCAATAAACTATCTCTTCTCTCCCCATCAATGGCATAAATAGCAGGGTTGATTATACCTTGGGTTGCATGCAGTCAGGGAGGAAGAATTACATGAAGATGCAAACGTGCAAAAGGCAACGAGAATCTATCCAACTGTCTATACAAAAATGTCTTAGCAGCTCACAGACGATAAAGAAACATTATCTTTAAGGAACCCTTATCGTCTATATACTATATGGCATTTAAACAAAATGAATAGCGATTTCCGAAATCTGCAAGAGCAAATTTGCGTAAGAAATATGAAATTCACTAAACTTCACTGTGAATGGCTTCCATATTGTTTTGATTGCATAACATAATAGTTAATTAATGATAACCTTTTTAAATTATTACGTATGGCCTAATATAAATTTTTCTGAGGAAAGATGAAAGAGTCATAATACACAAGTTAATATTTTGTATAATTTTTTTAAGAAAAGATAAACCACTATTAAAAGATCTTCCTTTTGTATTAGTAATATTATATTCATAATATATAAATAGGCTCTATCAATTTAGGCAATTTTATTTTTTAGATATTTATTTGAATGCGTGCGTCATTTAAAGCTTGTGTTGAGTTTAAATTCTGAGCAATGCCGTTGTCTTTGCTTTCGCCAAAATACCATCGGTATGCAGGTTATTTAAAAACAGAAAACATTTTTAGATTGTAAGAATTTTTTTTAGATAATAATGATTTAGTGATACAAGTTTTACTAATTAACTAATAGCTTAGAGAATATAAGGTGGATTCATACCTTTTCCCAGCATTCCCACAAAGAAATCTCGGGTCATGAGTATATATTGTTTGGGCTTCCGTAGAGTGATCAGTTTATAATGAATTTACGTAAGAATCTGGACCTCCTTATTAAATTTTAAAAAATTACATTATTTCTGTGACCGGGAGTGTTTAATCTCTTGAGTGGTCGGAAAGTTTTCTCACCCTGACATAACATAATTTTATATTCCAACTCTCTTTAAATTGAACGATACCAGAATACCCATCATTCGAAGGACGCCGTTCGGAGAGCCTTTCTAACAATCAACAAAGCACAACTTCGTAAAATATCACACAACATATGGCGTCGCATCATTTTGTTCCAGGAAAATGATGGTGTTCATAGTGATCTTCTCGATGTGTGACAGCGTCAATGAAATTGAATATTCTCGTTACTTTTTGGTATGGGTGCTAAGATTTTCGGACCACTCTGTATATTAATATGAAACCAAAAAAAAAAAAAAGAAAGGAAATTCTTATTTCAGGTTGCAGTGCCAGTTTTACAACGTCACCAAGAAATGAAATAAAGATTAAAAATTAAAATCAACAATTATTAATTTTGATTGTATGACGTTTGCAACTGGGAGCTAAATAAACTAATTCATGAAGTAACCAACAGATAAAATATTTATAATTCTTCTGCATTTAGATTCTTGCCAGCAACTTAAACTTATTTGGAAATGGGTCGAATCAACCAACGCCAGTAGAATAAAACATGATTCATTTATTATTTAATCGCTCAGACATTGTATGAGTCTATTACGCCAACCATCACGTTCCTGCATCAAGATCGGAAGGCCATTAGGGAGGCATTCTGTGTGACAGTGGTGTTGAAACGACAATAGCTTGGTTTTGGGGTGTACTGAATGTTATAAGCCTGTTATTTCTCTGCTGAACCGTGAAAAACAGTCCAAAAGAAATATCGGATACTAGATTACGATATACTTCGTTAATAATTTAAGATTCTTTAATCTATATATAAAAAATGTACCCTCTCTGTCTGTCTGTCTGTCTGTCTGTTTATCGAACTCCTCCGAGGGTTTGGGAGATAGACCCCTATAACCATATATATTCTGAAAATACATTACCCATACTTGGATATTTCATTTTGATAAATGGGGGTCTCCCGGAGCACAAACCCTAGACTAAAAATGTTTTCCCGTTGATATATATTAAATTTGAATTTGAACAATGAATGACTCTTATCCAAAATATAGAAGGAGAAAGCCAGAAGATGGAGAACACATTGACAAGAGGAAAATGAGAAAATATGGATGTCAAGTTGGTCAAGAAATCACCAATCAGTGGATAGAATCATATAATACGTATTTGTTGCAAGGATTCAACAGGTATATAAATGAAGAAATTTGCTCATCAATTCATTTAATTAAGTATTGCATCAAATACTTATCAAAGGGATCAGGTCAAGCTGCTTTTGCACCTCTCCAATGAAAATTATTTCCCTTTGATTTAAATTAAATTTGAACAAGGGAATGACTCCTATCCAAAATATAGAAGGAGAAATCCTTAAGATCGAGGTCACAGCGATAAGATAATTTTTGATCCCCGGGGAGCAAAAATCTCCCACTGAAAAATATTTTCCTTTTGATTTAAATTAAATTTAAATTTGAACAAGGGGATGAATCCTATCCAAAATATAGAAGGAGAAACCGAGAAGATGGAGATCACATCGGCAAGATCATTGAGCAATATTGAAATACACCATTTTTCACCATATATATTATAACAATGATTTAAAATCTGTCATTATTTTCTTCAAAAAAAAAAAAAAAAAGAAAAAAAGTGTGACACACAAGGCGCGGGAAATTTGGCTAGTGTTTTATAAATGGATACCAGTTTCTCAAAGACGATTAATTCTTGATGTTTTTTGAGTAGCTTTTAATTAAAAATGTCAAGACTATTAGGCTTTGACGTTTTTTTCCTCGAAGAATTAAAATATTCTTGTGTAAACACTTTGTAAAAAAATGTAAACGGATATTAGTGTCCTCTAAGTTGAACACTTCACAAAAAGCCACTCTGAAGAGGAAACAATTTCAAACACTTTGCTCAAGTTTAAAGGACGTCGTCCATTGAAGTAGCGTAAAGATGGCCATTAGCCATCTGTGGAAATGAGTAAAACGCGAAACGCCATTCAATTACGTCATAGCAACAAGATTCACTACGCCACTGGTCATTAGCGCTTGCAAAAATATAGCATTAAATATTCTTTCTGAGGTTGCTTAAGCGAATAAAAATAACGCAGAGATACTTTGAAGATTTTAATGGGGTGATCCATTTCATCGACAGTGTTATTCTTGTATAAATCTTAATTTATACAGCTTTTTAAACTGTTTCTCTATAAATACTGCAACGTTACTAGCAAATGTAGCAATTAAGATGAACAGACAGAATTCTTTTATCTTTGCCACAAGCTGAGGCTTTTATCGAAATAATGTTGCGTATTGCAAATTTTCTGTTGTAAGGTTTCACTCTCATACATATATCTTATAGAATACTGATCCTTTAATATTTGACACAACCGCACTAGGTGGCTTGTCCTTGTGCTTTGGGGCTAGGCTTAGTAAATATATATTATATTCAGCAGTCATTTTTTCTGTTGATACACTCGATTTGTTACAGTAAACTGAGTCTCTTAAGTCATAATGGGGGTCACTTCGACGTGGCGTAATGGTTAGCAAGCTTGTTTCAAAACAAGAGCCGAAAACTTCAATATAATTATTTAAATTAAATTGAGTTAAAATAAGCTCTGTTTCATCTTCAAGCGAAATTTTTTTTGGAATAACGTGTTTCTGAAATTTTGAAATTTACGTGTTTTAAAAATTTCAGAAACACGTTATTCCAAAAAACATTTCGCTTGAAGATGGAACAGAGCTTATTTTATTATTTAGTTACATAATTCTTTTTTATTTGGGTCTGAAAAAAATAACTACAGCTAGATTTTGAGCTATTGTCCCATCTTTATTCCAAAATTTTATATTTTATTTTATTTTATTGGACTCACCAAAATTCCAGATTAAAATGAATGCGCCTCCACACTTGATAAAGGGAAATTACCATCATCATACACATTTAAAGAAGAATTCTTTTATCGGGATTTTATTAAAGTTATATTCTTCCTTGCTTTGATAGTTTTTTTTAGTATTTCTTTCTATATTGTATTTAAAAAAATAAAACCCTTTACAAAATACTACAATTGGTAAAAAAATGGAGGTGGGGGCAAGGACCCTGGGTTTCTAAGGCCCTGTATTAGGTGTAAAGAAGAAAAATGAGGAGAAGGAAATATGAACAGAAAGTTGATACTAATTGAGAAAAAAATCATTGACAAAGAAACACAACTTAAAATTTATACATCTCTATTAGCAAAAGGAAAAGAAAATCGTTTCCATGATTTTATAAATATTAAAAAGAGAATCAAAGATCGATGTAGTCATTGTTTCCTTGAATTACTTCATTAAAACTTGATTAAGGTTATATCTGCCATTCGTGTCACAGTTGCAATTATACGTCTTTTACATTACGTATTTTAAAAGTAACGATAAATCTTTGAATGCCTCAAGGCCAGCATCTGATCTATCATTCGCAATATTTCATGTTTTATCATCTTATTATTTTGTGCGTATTAAAAAAAGAAAAAAAAAAGAAAACGAGAATTGCAATGAAAAGGCCATTAAAATAAAACAGAATAAATCAAAAAGAAAAAAAAAATGAAAAAAAGGACATACATTTTCTTTATATTCCTAAAATTAAAAAGAGAATAAAATGTGTCAGTCCACTTTTTTTTTCCCTATTTTTAATCCATTCAATGCTTGGCCAATCATCACCCTTTCTTGTCAACAGGAGAGATTTCTACTTCATGACCCCGTTTTCTCTTTTGTAGTTCATAAATCTACTAAAAGGTTTAGTAAATTCAAAAGAAATGAAGGAAAGAATGAACAAGAGTTAATAATAAAGTTAATTTCACACCGAAGAACTGCAAAGAAGACTAATATATCCTTAAATTCATTGATATTAATGTATGAGTGTATATGTTTATATATATAAGAATATCGCATTATCTATCTATCTATCTATCTATCTATCTATCTCATTCTGTTCATATCTATCTATCTATCTATCTATCTATCTATATATCTATCTATCTATCTATCTATCTATCTATCTATCTATCTATCTCATTCTGTTCATATCTATCTATCTATCTATCTATCTATCTATCTATCTCATTCTGTTCATATCTATCTATCTATCTATCTATCTATCTATCTATCTATCTATCTATCTATCTATGAAATGGACAAAGTCCGACAATTATTCATAAATACTTCATCCATGGTCATCTGGAGGATGAATATTTTCTGTGAAAATTTCTCGGACATTCAGGCCGGTAAATGTTGTTTAATACTGTTTATTATAAACATAGTATTTACTTAAATATTTATATCTATAAAAAGAATGTATAAATATAAAAATGTCTTAAAACTATCTATCTATCTATCTATCTATCTATCTATCTATCTATCTGTATTTACCCAAATCCACACCACAAGGCCGGTTTTTAACGCAGGGCTTTCCGAGCGCGCACGCTGGGGTAAAAAAAATTCCCGTAGACCCCTGTATTTACGGGGTCGGTGGCTATCTACTTCCCAAGATGAGACTGCCAGAAGGCTTAGCCTCGTCTGAGTTTCTCTCCATCCTTTAATGAAATCTGCCTCTATCTCTAATAAATCTAATCGCTCTCTCTGTCTTTGTCTGTCTGTCTCTCTCTCTTTCTCTCCACTCTCTCTCTCTATATATATATATATATATATATATATATATATATATATATATATATATATATATGTAGCGAGCAAAGCATACTTCATCCAGTGTCATCTGGAGGTTATGTCGATCAAAGGTGTCTCGGTACTAGTGACCTCAAATTATATGCGTAACCCCAAGCTTCAGGTTCACAAAAGTCACGGGCAATGAACCTTTAATTGTGAAACTACACTATAACTTATGAAAACGCAACCAAAAACAGAGGCACGTATCTATTTGTATATAAAGAAATAGAGAGCGAAACTTACAAAGATAATAATAGTGACAAAGTTAGATTATGAGATAAACCTACATTTCATATGAATGTTTTCTAAACGCATTTAAAATAGTTAAACCCTAAAAATGAGGATCAACACAAAAGCTCAAGTTTAATGCCGTATATTTTCTGCAAGCCGACAAATGAAATGAAATACCTATCTATCCATCAATCTTTCTCTCTCTCTCTTCTGTCTGTCCGTTTGTCCGTCTGTCTTTATATATCCTATACGGGGTGCACGTTCGATTCCTGCCGGAGGACAGACATTTTTCTGACAAGATTTCTCGAATATTCACATCGGTAGATGCAGATGGATAAAAAATAGTTCTTAATTAGACGAATAGAGCTTCTACTAGAATATCAGTAGCCATAATAAATAAAGTTTAAACAAAATGAATTAAAAATATCCATTTCTAAAAATAAACTGTCTTTATTTACATTACGATACTCAGCAGATACGGATATTTCTAGAATCAAGCGTTAGTGTTCAAAAATCAATATTCAGGATTTATTTGATTATATAGGTGGCCTGACGATTGCGTCAAGCTTGAAACAGCCTGTCGCCTCTGAGTGTTGACTTCAATGTTCATTTTTATATTTATTTATATCTCTAATATTGAGCACTTTATCCCATAAATATAGCACACCTTAAAACTATATTTCTTTACACACATATATATATATATATATATATATATATATATATATATATATATATATATATATATATATATATATATATATATATATATATATATATATATATATATATATATATATATATATATATATATATATATATATATATATATTTATATATATATATATATATATATATATATATATATATATATATATATATATATATATATATATATATATATATATATATATATATATATATATATATATATATATATATATTCATAGATATTCATATATATTCTGTTTATCCGTTATTTTTATGAATACAAATTTGGAATTTGCTAACTCGAATGTTATCTGTGGTTGAATGGTTAATCGTACGTCAGGTCAAATGACGTTTTCCGTATAGGAATGCAGGTTCGATCCCTATCAGAAAACTCGTATATTCTCGAACATTCAGGTCAGTAAATGTAATTAATACTGTTTAATTAAAACAGAGCATTTACTCAAATAAGTTGTATCCATAAAAATAACGTATAAACAGAATATATATTAAAATATTTGTCTGATTTAATTCATTTCAAATAATATATATATATATATATATGGAGAGAGAAAGATTAATTTTGTAAAGAATCTGAAAACACAAACTTCAAGCAAAAAAGAAAACTTTTGTGTGTCTTCTGTATTTTTTAACGGAGCATACATAAAATGTTCCTGAAAAACTTCAAGTCGATTATTTGCAAAAGCACAAGCGCTCGTCTAGTTTGTCTTTTTTTTTTTTAATTAATATTTTCCCTTTTCATTCTGGCTTTTCGGTTTTATTTTTATTTTTAAATTTTTCTCCTTTTAACTTCCCTTTTTCTAATACATTTTTACGTGCTTCTTTCTTTCTATCTTTCTTTTCTCTTGTTTTTCTTTTGTCTTTCTTTCCGTCTTTCATTACTTTTTCCAGTTTCCTTCTTTCTCTTCTGTTTTCTTCATTAATTCTTTATTCTTTGTCGTTCACCCATCTTCTGTTTACTTATTCATATTACTTTGCTTCATTTTTATTACATTTGCTCATTCTTGCCTCTACTTTCTTTATTGCCTTCTTCCCTTCTCTCTCTAAACACACCTCTTTCTTCCTTGTTTTCAGTTTCCTTCTTCTCGTCTTCCCCTTCACTTTCCCTCTTTCTTCCTTGTTTTCAGTTTCCTTCTTCTCGTCTTCCCCTTCCCTTCTTCTCGTCTTCCCCTTCCCTTCCCTCTTTCTTCCTTGCTTTCATTTTCTTCTCTTATTTGCCTTTACTTTTGATTCGCTTTTTTTATTCGTTTACATTTTCTCAATTGCTTTTACTTGCTTGTTTGCCTGCTCGATTTATCGTCTTTCTTTTCTCTTCTTTTCTCTCTCTCTCTCTTTTCTCCTTCTTCCATTATTTTTACAAACCAACTACTTATCTCTTGCTGCCGTCATCATCATCATCGTTATTATTATAATTATTATTATTATTATTATTATTCAGAATGAGAAGACATTATAAGAAATCAGATGATCTTCGAAAAATGTGAACTGATCCACAAAAGAAATATTCAGAACGAAATGATGCAACAAGGCCAGGATCAGAGTTTCCTGCAATATTTAAGCAGGTTTCACAAAAAGAAGAATTAAAAAAAGACCCCCCCCCCAAAAAAAAACAACTGAAACTAAAAAAAAAAAACAAAAACAAAAAAAAGAAGAACAACGGAAACTAAGAAATAAAAAAACCTCTTAAATATAGAGTTCTACGTCAAAACAACAACAACAAAAAAACAAAAAACAAAAAAAAAACGGCAAATGAAAAACTCAGGCATTTTTTTTCAAGTCTTGTGATTCGTTACTCATTCTCTAATATTCCGAATTCGTTCCGTTCGTGCGCAGAAACACTGAATTCTTACTTAGATTCACCTAGCCAATTTAGGTTAAACCGTTATTTTGGGGTTGTAAATAAGCTACTCTGAAAAAAAGATTGAACTTGACGGGAGCAGAAGCACACATTCAAGCGAATAAAAGAAAGAAAGAAAATAGGAAATCATACTGACAATATCCTGTGAGTTAAGCATCAGCTGATTGTTGAACTCTCGACCCTAGCAAACTGATACAAGACACAATAAGCCAAAATCTCACCCCAGATATCAAGTAGAACCCATATAGAAGATCTATTGCTACCATTCTGGAAAACTAGTCGGTTTATTATGCCACATCAGGAAATATCTGATTGCTATACTCTCTAAGTTTACAAGAACCAGATCAAGCCAAAAATGGAGTATATCTGGGATGGAGGCTATTTTGAAAGAGTTCAACAGCGTCTTTGCGGCCTTGTGGGTGATTATTTTCTATCCTACAAGCTATTTCCCACAGATAAAGCGTCACTTGCTTCTCGCTACTCTATCGCTATTTCCATGGCATATGTTCTGACGAGCAAAATTCCTTGGTCCCACTAACCATGACATTTGAAATTCTACACGTCATGCCATCTCATTCATTTCGTAATCCATTAGTAAGTAGTAAGTTTTACCCAGACATCTTCTTTCCAAAACCTGCTGCCTTGTGGAACTAAATCAGAGCAGGATTTTCCTAATCACTACAATTTTGACCACTTCAAGTGTAGCTAACTGTTATCTATCCAACATAAAGTCATGAACTTCACTTCTTGTTGTTCCGAAGCTCATCCAACACCACAGATTAATACTCTACCTTGAGTTGCTCTTGAGCCTTGTATGGGTGAATAATTCGCACCTGACGAGTTGGCAGAACAACGAAACTTTAAGTTGCAGGTCGAAAATAGGTATATGCATATTTATTAATATATCCTTCTTAGCTCTGTCTAACCACATTCAGTACTAGTTATTTAATTTAGTCACATTAATATATATATATATATATATATATATATATGTGTGTGTGTGTGTGTGTGTGTGTATGTGTATGTGTATACAGTGTGTTTCAAAAGTAACCTATATATTTAAAAATTCCATATATATAGAGAGAGAGAGTGAGAAAGATATATCTATCTATCTATCTATCTATCTATCTATCTATCTATATATATATATATATATATATATGTGTGTGTGTGTGTGTGTGTCTGTGTGTGTGTCTGTGTGTGTGTGGACATTGATGACAACACCCAGTAGCAATGTTAGGGTTAGGGTTAGGGTTAGGGTTAGGTTACGATTGCGTTTAGCATGAAAACAGACGGTCGCCTCTGGGTGCTGACATCAATGTACACTTTTATATTTACATATGTTCTATTCCTGATATATTTTATCATATGTATATAACAAGTAAGAAAAAAATCTAGAATTACTATAGTTTTCGATTTTAATTACATCATTCAAAAGCTATCACATATCTTACAAATAAGATTTCCAGTACATAACATGCGGACCCACAATTTAATAATATATTTTGTGAAACGACACTTAACGCCAGGTGATAATCTTCAAATCTACAGTTAATTCTTTCATAATCTAGACTACAAAAATCACTCACCACGGCAACGCAATCCCGATGCCAACTTTCTAAACATCTTATCACTGATAGCATCTTTAAGCCACCTGGATTAAACAGTAATTCGCTCCCCCCCCCGCCTCACTTGACTTGTGGCAGTTCAAATGTAATATAATTACTTTTTTGCAACAAATGCCAAACAGGAAATTATATTGGTGAATCAGGTACGGAATTCTGTCTTTGGTTTAATAACCATAAGAAAACTACCAAATACGACAGCGTCAGTTTCATTGTAGCTTCAGATTTCAACCAACCAGACCGTAGTATTGATAAAGTTAGACGCGTTCTTTAAGCGTTTTCATTTAAATGATAACAAGAACGCCGACATTTCGAGTTAATAGGCTTTTTAAAGATAAATTTACGCATTCTACGTTTAAGTAGGAATTTATGCAAGCACAATGAATACAGTTTCCACAAAATCCATCTTCAAATCCTTCCACAACCCTGTTTTTAGTAAATAACTAGCTCACAACTATTTTATTTAATCAGTAACATAATAGTTGCGGAAAAAAATCCTGAAAAGTCCAACATCATTTTATTTCCCGTTGAGAAACAGCATAGACATGTCCCAAAATTTCTACGTTCAACTTTCCCCATTATAAATATACAATTAATATTATTATCTTATTGTCGTTTTTTATCTTTCGAATTTCTTTCATCGGCTTACTACACACACACACACACGCGCATGCACACACACACACACACACACACATATATATATATATATATATATATATATATATATATATATATATTAGATAGGTCTTTTGAACAGGAGTAGAAGTTTATCCGTGGTTTCCTGTTTAGGATTGGTTTTCCGGTTCTTTCTAGAGTCTTCTCATTCTCTTTAACTCCATGTAGCCCCCTTGTTTCTTAGTGACATTTTCGCCTTTCTTGAGGTGGACTGATAAAAAATTTACTCCAAACTGCATATTTTAGTAGATACATATATTTGGGTAGACGCTCTTTTCTAAACATTGTAAATGGAACCTGCCATTCAAGAGAAAGGGAAATCCACCGAAAAAGAAATTTAGACAGATAAGGAAATATTCTTTTCTTAAAACGAAGTTAACATTTACGCATATATTGAAGACGACTTTTTTGACACATATTAGTTAGCATGAACAGCCGTTGATATGTCAACCCATATGGCACAGACGTCGATCGACTTTGTGATGGGATGCATGGTTTCACATGCTTGATTAAATATTTCTACAACTTGTGCCACAGTAGCCCTATTTTGTCTCGTACTTTGCTGGAAATCCTACTTTAACTTTTCCTGTCAATGAATCTTGACTGACTTACCAGAAATTTCTGATTTTTCCAGTATTTTTCCCATTCCGGTATAAATGAGATAGTTGGTGTGCGTCAAAAGATAACCGTCCAGCAAGTCAAATGATGAGATCATAAGATCGAAACCCGGGTCGGAAAGGTACTGTTCGTTTATAAAACATCGTAATTCCTGTGTCGCGATGGAATCATATTTTTGTAAAAATATAATTATATATATATATTTATTAAAGACATTTTTATGTTTAACGTTCTTTTTTATAGATATAAGTATTTAAGTAAATGCTCTGTTTATAATAAACAGTATCAAATAACATTTACCGGCCTGAATGTCCGAGAAATTTTCATAGAAAATATTCGTCCTTTGACAGGATTAGAACCTGCATCCTATACGGAACCGTCATTTACGCTGACGTGCCTAACCTCTCGGCCACAAGGAGGCAAAGTCGAAGGTTGAAGCTTATAAGCAGTAAATTCGACCTTGCCTATATATATGTGTGTGTGTGTATATATATATATATGTGTGTGTGTGTGTGTGTGCGTGTTTTTGTGTGTGTGTGTGTGTGTGTGTGTGTAATATATATATTGACCGGCCATTCTGTACATTCAAACATGAAATTCCTTGCTGATTTACACGAGAATTGTTGGGCATGTTAGGCACAGCGTGTTCGAGTCTCATTGAGAGATTATTTTTTAAATCACTTCGAGTCTCACTGAGAGATTATTCTTTAAACCAGAACTGCATTGTTTACTAACAGTCATTCAGTGACGTTCTGAGTCGATAAAAAGCAATGAAATTAAAATGGAAGAAATATAATAAATAAAAAAAAAAAAACTCATAATGCGCGTAGTTTTTCAGCAGATTGTTCACAGTTTTCTGACTTATTCGTTCCTTTTATCAGCTTCAGAAAAACGACAAGCCATAATGAAATATTAACTAATCGTACACAAATTTAATATGAATGACTCCCGAGACGAACATGCTAACTTCTTTAATACGGCTAGGGGATGCTTATACCATTTAAATGAAACATATTATTCACACCCTTTGAATTAATTTTCTGTTCGCATTTTGAAGATGTTCTCTCGTAAAATATACTTTCTCTATCTCTCACTCTATTTCTTTATAACACCCTCACAAACGCACAAATTCTTATACGTGTGTGTACAGGTTCATATTTACTAAGATTAACTTTGACCAGCACGAATATGCATGTGCGTAGTTCTTGGGCTAAAAATGTGAAAATTAACTTTTGAAATTCTAGCTGAAGAATTTAAAAAAATGGCGACAGATAAAAAAAAAGTAAACAGGAAACATATATAAAAAGATAAACATACCAAAAAAAAGCAAAGAACAATTGAAATGAAACGAAAAGAAAAAGACTCAAAAGGACAATACGAAAAACTAAAACTTACAACTAATAGCAGAATAAAAATATAATTGTATGAAAGTAATTTTTTAATAAATGAAAGAAATTCGAAAAAAAAAATATGGCGTCCATCTGCAATAAACAGTCGTATTTTGGCGTGAATAATTATTCATTGGCAGATGTTTTTTTACGGCTCTACAATATCCATCTTTTGTATTCGTCCATGTTGTTCAGTTGATTTTCCAATCTAAAATGTCCACGCCGCTTTTTGATTCCTCCCACTTCTTTTCTTTATATTCGTGAAGTAGAAATCTCGTTTACTTTTAAC